TTTTTTAGTGTTGCAACACGGAAGAGATAAACAATGTCTCTAATACCAAAGAATGGATAGGTTTGTCATTGTGGCAAGTATTTCCATTCTTAAATGTCAATATTGTGTGATTATAAAGCAGATTAATTTTTAAAGCAAATTATTAAAATATATCTTTCTGCAATAATATAATTTATAATGTTTTGATGAATCTCCATATCAATTTTCCAGAGATCTCAAATATACCTTTTAATATAGCTCATGGAAAGTGTTTCAAAACAGGTTGCTGACAGACATGAAGCATAATAAAAGTGAGTAGGCACAGTGAGAAGGCATATAAAATATCTTTGAGTGTTAAATTTATATTAATAGAATAGAATATTTTGCTTCCTGTAGCACATCTGTATTTTTCCTGATAATAACCTTTATTTTAGAAGGCAGGTCTCTACTGGCTTGTAGTTTTCAAACTTTCTCTAAAAAAATATTCGTATGAATATAAACAAAAGAAAGACATATAGATAGAAAGATAGGAAAAGAGGAAAAAAGGCATGGAGGGAAAACTTTGATATTTATTCCAAAATTTGACCAAGAATGATGAAAACATCCAGCCCAGATACTTTAATTAAAATAAAAAAAAATAAAATAAAAAAGAATGATGAAAACAATCTGAGAGTGAGAGTTTAGGAAACATATACAATCTCTCTTCCTTTGTAGAGATGATTGGTGCTCTCCAGTTACAATTGCTCAACCCTTCCCCCACTAACTTTTTTATGGATAGGATGTTTAAGGTTTGAGGAAACAAGTTCTAATTCTAACTCTGCTTTTAGCCTTACAGAGAGTTGAACAAATCTATTATAGTTTTACTCCTTTCTTGATAATGTTAGCAGTTATACTAGGTTATGAAGTCATTCTCTTTTATCTGCATATATTCATTTAAAAGTAACACTTGTAAGTTGAAGATAATAATATACATATGTGAATATATTTTTAAAATTTTAGAACATTAGAATCTAAAATAGTTAACATTTTATTTATAATCACTTATTTTTTCCCTTTTTTTTTCATATTCACCAGTAGGAAAGGTTAATATAAATAACCTGGCTGCCATTTTGGAAGTCATGGACATCAAGCTTACAGAAGAGGAACTTGATATGATAAAGGATCTTCTGAGTGATGGTGAGCATTATGGAAAACACTGTGATTTTAAACAGTGTGTAAGCTTTCAGAATTAATTACAACTACTTCAAAGGTTTAATTTACTTCTTGCCCAAAAGACATTTGGATAGCTGTCAGAAGAATCCACA